TATGCCTGACTGGCAAATAATTTTAATTGTGGTAATGATGTTGGAGACTGAAGAAAGAGAAATATTTGTGTGGGTATGTGTCCCTTGAATGTTTTCTGAAATTTACTGTTTTGTTATGGCAAAAACTTACTTTGTGTCTTAACACAGTGGATCTATGAATGAAAATAAGCAAAGGCTATTACTTGAGAAAAATTAAGGTGGGAAGGAAGGTGTTCTGTGTTAATTTCATGTTGCTGTTAGATTTTCACTACCTGAATTCTAGTCTTTGCTTATATCCCAACAGATATAATTACTTACTTACTGGCGATGTAATCAGTGCTAATAAATATTGCTGAGATCGTATGGTCTATGTACAAGCTTTAAACATTCTTCCAAAGTTACTGTTGTGTCCAAATCTTATTTATGATCTTATTCCACTGAAGATAGCAGAGTTCCATGAGCCCCAGCATACTAATTTAATAACAATTCATATTAAGTATGCTAATTAAAATACAGAAGATATCAAAGGTAAAGTATAACAGTTCCATTTTTTTTTTAGGTAAATGCAGTGAATAAAAAAACACTCTTCATTTATTTCACAGCAATAAAAAAGCTGGCTCCTAACCTTTTCTTTTCTTCTTATTTCTTGCAAGAAGAAAGTGTTTTCTTCTGTAAATGTTGTCTCTTTGCATCCTATCACGAGCGTTTCAGCTGGAATGCTTGCACAGTTTCCAAATTGCAACCTTGGTAACATGTCTAGCAAAAAACTTAGCAACAATGTCAATATTTTCTAATTCCTGTTAGCTGTATTAACATGTTGCTTATTTGCTTTTGCCTTTGTCCAAAAAATAAGGGGGGGGTCGAAGTGATATTCTGCTAACACCTAATTCAATTTCAGTTCTTTTAAGTACCCACTATGAACTTCTAGTTACATTTGGACTGAAAATGATGGGTGAGGAGCTGGACTTATACACACCTTTTGGAAGATGGTGCTTTAGCTTGCTTTTGGGGAGTATAAGGTGCAGTTTTTGTTTAGGATTTGTGATTTAGTAAGAGGAAAAGGAATCTAGAATGGAGTTAGAATAATAGAAAATTAGTGTTGGAAGGGACCTCAGGAGGACATTTAGTCCAACCCCCTCTTCCAGTTCATTCTTCCTACGAATAAAATATATATCCCTATACATAATTTTTAGAAAAAAAGATTTTGGGAAAATATAAGAATTAAAAGAATCAGATTGCTTGAAACATTCTGTTATGGAAATATAGAACTAATATGAATTTAAAACTTTGGCCTGTTAACTTCCCTGGCTTTCACGTGCACTCTTAAAAAGTTCAATAGCTACAAATAGCCTTCCTATTTTTTTCAAAGTTTACTTACAGTATAATATGAAACAGGAAGGGAGCTTTAAAGATTATCTTAATGCAAGTATGATTACTTCTGCTGGAAAGCTCTGGGAAACAACTGTTTAAGAGTTGCAGGTCTTGAGGGCTAGATACAGAACAAACAACATGATGTTAGAGTATATGCATATAATTAACATTTGACCTGAATTATAAGGAAGTGAACTTGATGCGAATGAATTCATAATTAGAAAAGAAATTGTGCATGTGTTTTCTCATTCTTACTTTCTAGGATCTTTTACTTTTGACCTCATGGTAATAAATACTGTTTCAGATGAGTTTTGGGCTAAACTTTTATTCTTGACTTTCCCTTTAATCTTACTTCTTTGTCAAGTGGTATATAATTTTATTTTGTTTTCTTTGTCAGACTTGTTTACTTACAACTATAGTTTTATGCCTAAATTGACCAATCTTTTATTCACCATTTCAGTAATTTTGTAATAATTTCTATAGCAAACTTATTTTTCAACTCTATTAGTATGTTTAAGGGACTGAATCCTGCCAAACTGATGTGGACATATATATACTTTGGCTGCCGCCTCCTTCTGTCTTGCTTCATTATTATGAACAATCAGGCTCTTGAGACCGACAGAAATCATGTCTCCTGATCATTTGAAATCTGAATAGGCTTGCCCTCTAACAGTTTTGCATCTAAAAGATGCACAACACATTGTGTCATTGGGCTGCTGTACAATAGTTTACAATTTTCTTTAGAAGAAAAGTATTTATTTATCAAATCTTGCCTCAGACTTCACAGATTTAAGCAGAAAAACTGAAAGGTCAAATTTGAACTCCTGAGTGTCACTTAATAGAACACTTTCTATTAACCTTCTTTTAGAAAGCTGTTTTAGCATTTGGTTGGCCATCCAACAAGATTTTCATAACAGTTCTGATTCAGTCACAATTTAACAAATAAGTAGGGCTTTCAAGCATTGCAGCAATCCGTAAATATGTTTTTACCTATAGAAACGTTTGTGTTTTTAATATGGACATAATTTTGCCCCAGAGGACAAAATCTATAAGATGTTCTTTTTAGAAAAAAGTTAGGTTTCCCCTTGCAGCAAAAAAAAAATCTGCTTGCTTGCTTATTCCAAGTATTTTTTTTATGGATGCTTAACTAGTGGAGCATTACATATCTTTGTGGGCTTTGTCTTTTTCCCAACATAACAAAAATAGACTGGTAGGTTTTTGTACCTCATCTATCCAAAACAGAAGTGAACATTAATCAGCTGTTTTGCATTGTAAATTGCCTCATTATATTTTGATGTAGTTGATAAATGACAAACTATATTTTATTTCAGCAGGTGACTCCTGCCCAGAGAATGCTGTGCCGGTTATTGTAGCATCTGGTCAAAATGCAGATTTTCCTGTTGGAAATCAGCCTGTACCTGAGGATATGTATAGAATGAACTTGACTAAAGGAGTCTCAATGTCTTTGCCATCATCACCTTTACTACCACGTCAGTCTTACTTGATGCAGTCAAGATCAAACAGAAAATCTCCAGGTAAAATGTGGTTGATAAATTATGTAATACTTGATAGCTAGTACTGATAATTATTTCATTAAGTAATTTCTGTGTAATGTCAGTGTTTGATAAACCTGGGGATATCATACCATGATAAAACTAAGATAAGTGAATGTACTTTTGCATGCCTTTGGAAAAGATGCAGTTTATGCTTACATGGTACATTTTCTTTTTTTTGGCGCACAGTTCTTCCAGCTATTAAAGGTAGTTTGAATACCATAACTACTTGTCTTGAAATGTCTACCTATGTTTAACAATGTAATTTGTGAGAGCAGTTTTACATTTCAGGTATGTAGAGGCAACTGTAAAACTGTATTCTTAATGTCAAGGCGCTGTGCATTTGGTCTCTATTTTGCAAACGATACGTTTTATAAATTTTTTTTTTCCAAAAAGCAGTGTCTAGGTGCAGAATTTTAAGCTGTTACCAGTGTAGCAATAGTTCCCCCCCCCGCAGAGCTTTTGTTGTTGTTCGTGATGTCCATGTACCTCATATGCCTTACTAAATAAGGTTGTTCCTTCTGCTTCTGGTTTATCAACATTCTGTCCACTTAAATCATTCCAACACACTAGCATCACTTGAGTTCAGCCAGGCCAAAACATGAGTGTCAGACAAAGTTTTCCAAACTGGTATCTAGAGAGCTGGAATAGCTTTGAAATTCTTTTGTTTTAATGACGCTTCAAAGATATTATACTACAGATAGTATTGTGGGAGATGTAATGTTTTTCTCAGCTTATAGAAGAGTCTCATGTAACAAACCCCAATGCATAAAATGAAAGTGGAATCCTTGTTAAAGGGTTTTCAGGGAAGTATTCCAAAATATTCTTAAGAAATTCTAAATCCTGGAGGATTTAAGTACCTCATCTAAAATTCTTTACCTTTTATAGTCATTTTTTTATATTTGATATTTAAGATACCGCTTTAGCTTTTAAAATGTTCAGGACTACAGAATGGCATATGTGATCTCTGCCTTTTATTACAAATGGCTGTATATCAATTTGAAGACCTTTGCTGAAATCCTGGCTCCTTTTAAGTTAGTGACAGTATTTGCTTCATTGGTAAGTAGACCCAGGATTTCACCCTGTTTTCTCACTATGGGAGAAAGTTAACGTTTTTCCAGATTAGGTCTGTGCTTGATGAGATGTCATCTTAAAGATGTATGATCTAATTTAAAGGAGTTGAAATTTTACATCTAGTCCTGTAGGCTGCATTTTGTTGACTCTTGTTCTTGCACACAAGTATTGATTATGTTAAAAAATACATTTCCTGCCTGGCAGGAAGGTGGGGAAACTGGTGGGGTCGGGGGGTGGAGGACAGCAAGCAGGAGTATGGGCCCTGCACCAATGTTCCTGGGCCCAGAGCAGGGTGGTAGGAGTGCAGGGCACAGGCTGGCCAGGCTGGGTGGTGGGACAAACGGAGGCCTGGGGGGCAGATGCTCCCCCGATCTGTGTGCAGGGCAGAGGCAGCTGCACTTTGAGCTGTGCTGCATGCTGTACTTTAAGCTCCACTGCCCCAAGAACTGCACAACAACATGGGGTGGACAGTCAGTACAGCATAGCCCAGAGGTGGGACACATGTGGCATCAGTCGCTCCTGGGGCAGTTGCAGCAGTGGCAGCTGT